CCCGGCCCTCCCCACCCGCAGGCCCTCCCCACCCGCAGGCACCCCCCACACACGCCCGACCCTCCCCACCCGCAGGCCCCCCACACACGCCCAGCCCACCTGGAGGCTCTGCATCGCCTGCGGCGTCGCGGTGGGACCGCGGCCACCTCCACCTCGGGACGCCACCTGCGCCGCCCGAGCATGCTCAGTCCCGTCCCGACCGCCTCTGCGGGCCCAGGTCGGCGCCGGGGTCGAGGGCGCCGCTCCGTTTCGTTTGCCGGCACGCAGAGGAGGAAGGAAGCTAAGAGCTGCCTACAGGCGCTCTACCCGACAGACCCGGACCCGGGGGCGGAGGGCTGACGGCCGCAGCAGCCGCCAGGGCAGTGCGGCGAAAATCCACCTTTCCGGGCTTTCGCAACAACGCGAGAAGTGGGCGGTGCGGGAGCAAAAGAGGATGGGGCGTGGTCGGAGGCGGGGCCCCGGCGGGGCGCACGGCCGGGGGAGGGGAAACGGTGTGCGGGGCGGGGCCAGGGACGTGACGGGAGAGCTAAAGGGTGGACGGAGCGTGGAAATGGGCGTGGCCAGGGGCGTGCCTCAGGGCTGAAAGGAGCGGAAGGGCGGGGCGGGGCCTTGGGAGGGCGGGGCCGAGGAGCATTGGAGGGGAAGGGGCGAGGCCGGGAGAATAGGAGGGCGGGGCTGGCCCGGTCGCAGATACTCCGGGTCCCCGGAGTCTACGGAAAAAGCCGCTTACACCGCAGGGTCTGGAGACCAACTCCTGCAGGAGTTCGTTTTGAAAATTCATTTTAGAGTGACCCATCTTTCTTGTTTAATAAGCACCATATTGTTCATTAGAGAAAACCTAGAAACTACAAATGGAAACAGAAGCAAATTAAGCTCCCAGGAACGCCATCCTGCAGACGGCGACGGGGGACCGGAGCGGGCTGCCGACCGGTCAACGGAGTCACGGCGAAGGCCTAACGCGCTGGCCTTCCGAGAGGCCCGCGGCGGAAGGCGCCTCCCGTTCCCCGGGGCGCTCCTGGAAGCCGGCCCTGCGCGCCCAGCCTCGGCGGGACGCGGCGCCCGGAAAGGTCGCGGTGGGAGCCGGGGGCATCCGCCGGGCAGGCACCAGGCACCCGCTCAAGCTCCGCAGCGTCGGGAATAGATGCCCTGGGCGCGGCAACGCGTGCGAGGGGGCCTGTAGCAAGGAGCGCACCCCGCCTCTGGGCGCACCGAACTCGGCACGCTGTGCCCGCCCCGCCCCAGGCCCCGCCCCTATGCGGCTCGCCCCGCGGCTGCCGCGAAAACCCGGCAGCGACGGCGTCCGGCCCCGCCTCCTCGCTGCCCGGCGACCGTACTGGGCATGCTCGGCGTCAGCCGGGCTGCGGCAGGTGGGCAGCCTCGCGCTCCCGGCCCCGCGGCGCAGCCCGCATTGCCGCCCGGCGCCGGTGGAGGCGGCTCCCAGGACGGGCGGCTCGCCGGGCGCGGTGCGCGGCAGCTCTTGGGTCGGCCATGGCGAGGGACCCACGGCGGCCACCTGCGTGGCAAGGCGGCTGCAGGTCGGCGGGGCGCCCGGGGCTGGCGGGGGCGGGGACGCAGGGCGGCTGCGGGGGCGGCACGGGTCCCCTGGAGGCTGCGGGGGCTTGTCGTGCGCGGCGACTCGGGGGGCTGCGCACAACCGTCGCCCGGACTGGCGCCGAGCTTCCCTTCGCGGGGCGCCGGGGCCTCGGGACCGAGGGGAGGCGGGGGCACGTCCAGGCTCGCGGGCCCCGTGCCTCAGTTTCCCGGACGGGGGCGGCGTGCTGTCCGAGTCCGGAGGCCCGTGTACGGGGTGGAGCGTGTCCCGGGGCCGCGGGGGCCGCTGGCCGCCGCCTCGCGCCCTCGCTTGGAGTTTGTCGCATCCGACTCGGTAGCGAGTTGACCGGATTGCTTCGTGGCGTGGACCCGGCAACGGGATTCATCGGCTTAAAAGCCAAAGTAATCGCAAAGCTGATCGAATTGACTTTAAGCTCGACCACTCACCTGCCCTCCCTTCCCGAAAACTTGAGCTTGCAAGTTACAGGATTAATAAAGCCGGCGAGCCGAAGGAGAAGAGGTGTGGGTCCCATCGGGGGTGGGGTGTCCCTGTTTAAGGGTGCCTGTCAGCAGGGAAGTTGGGCTACCGGATCCCCTTTATTTTGTGTTATCTCAGCTTTATATTAAGAACTTGGAAACCTAGCGTTGCAGTAGCGCAATGGTTTTTGTAAAGTTTTCTCACTTTTGTTTCTAGATGAAACATTTTTTTTCCGTTGTTACTATACTGAACATTGTAAATTGTTAAGGTGAAATGCAAAATGGGAGAATCATTTTCAAAAGAAGGAATGTTAGATCAACGTAGTTCTGCAGGCATTTTATTTTTACAGAAAACGCAATTTCTAAGGCCTGCTGCGGTTTCTACTGTTGGTTCTTCCTAAAACATCTAATACGATTACCATTTTCAGGGGTGTTGGATTTAATAGGAGCAAACAATCCTTACTGTAGGGGAAATAGTTCTACCTCTAAAGCTATATTCTCAGGCCTGTTCCATAACACGGGGTTCGCTTGTTTGGTTTATTAAACTTATTACAAAACTTTGTTTGCATTCTTGATAGGCCTTAATAGATTTTTGGGGTGCAGTAGCTTTTCACTGATTTGCGAATAGCCTTTACTGTTCGCTCCTACCTGAGGTGGCTCTAGCTGTAATTCCATATGCCCTGGGTGACTTCCCCAAGTGGGCACTAAGCTGAGCCTATACATAACCGAGATTTAATAACAGGAAAGGCTTGAAATGACCAGTCGATAACAACAATACCAATAACATGATTACTAGACGGGCAGCCCTCCATTTCAGCCAAATAGTTCGGTTGGTGGTGTTCATTGCTCCAAAATGTATTCCCAAGTATATTTACAGAAAAATTTGAAACTTTGAAAAACCCAACCCTAATATTGAGAAATTTGAAGTCTACCATGGAATGCTTCCTTTCTGCACGAGGAAGGATCCCGCACAGCCAGGCTTGTGTTCTCAGGCCACTTGCCCAGCTGGCAGTCAGCCTCACGCTCTTCCTGACTGAAGGGGAGCAGCAAGGCCTTACTTGCCCCTTTTTAAATGTGAGGTTAAACAATAGGCTGCCTTCTGGATCTAAAAATCCTACTTTCTCAGTGTTGGGAAAGATGATGAAATTTAACATAAAGGCCTATTCCAACACTGCTTGTGGCTTCAGGAACTCCCCGAGGGAATGGAGTCCCCTGACCTAAAACTATCAAAACCAACAGGATATAGGTTGAAAAGGGGTTTATTATTGCTAATAAACAATAGCAAAGTAGACTTTGTATTTAAATTAGGAAACAGGAGATCCTGTGCCTTTGTGTTCTTTTCAAGTGCTAGGCACCTAAATTTTGGTTGTATTTCCATGTCTCTGTACAGTGTCTCTGTACAGTATTGTTAGTGACGTCAGATATTCAGAGCAAACTATTGCCTTTAAAAAAAGATCTTCCCCCATGCACGTGGCCTTAATTTATTCAACTCTCCATTTGGCTTGCAATTTAAATACTTGAGGCTATTTAATCTTTGCTTAACTTGAACTACCTGTTCTATTTTTCAAGTGCAAGAATTTCCAGATCCTGAGATACCAAATAAATATTGTGGCAAGGTCACTTATAGCCTCCAGCATAGGATAGTCAGATTTGTTCAATGACTGTCATTTTTTTGGAATTCAGAAATCACGCAGATGTCATTTCCCTCGTGTGACATCTGGCCAAGCCCTTGGTGTGCGGCTCGCCAAGCCTGAGAGGACACTTAAAACACTGACAGTGTGTGATCTGCAGCAAATCACATTCAAGTTGACAGTAGTCTTAGGTGCAAACAGTTGACTTTCAGTTCGCTGTAATACTTCCCAAGAATGGTTTAAATTAAAGGATTAAGCTATTGGTTCATTACGTGATAATAACCAGTCAAGAGCTGTCAGAACCAGTTTCTAAGTTCTAATCAAAACTGAAGTCCCGTGAATTTATTGGTCTTGCCTCTGCCTCCACCTGAGGTCCTGGCTCATTAAAAATACCACATTTATTTCTCTTCCCCACCATCTTTTATAGTTGGGTCCCTGAGGCTGCAGAAACGAGTACGACACAGTCACTCACAGTCTAGTCAGAGAGACACACTAGAGGACGAACTGCAGTGCGGAGTAAGTGGTCCGGGGCCATGTCTGTACACGGGACCAAGGACCAACCGGGAGGGATGAGCCCCTGGGGCTGGAGAAGGGGCCTTGTGCAAATGGGGGCCCTTCCATAGGCTGTTGAGGAATAGGGAGGCAGTCTTCTAAGCAGAGAAGTGGCCCTCCAGGAAGAAGGCACCCTTAATGGTAGTTAGAATAATGCCCTCCCAGGTGTTCACTTTGGAACCTCACAGGTGTGATTCAATCGAGGATCTTGAGAAGTGATTATTCTGGATAGTGGGCCTCCTACAACCCCAGGGTCCTTACACATGAAAGAGGGAGGGGGTGACCCTGTGAGAAAGACCAGAGTGGCCAGTGCTGGGGTGGGAGGGGTCCACGAGCCAGGAGTGTGGGCCGGGGCAAGGAACTGGTGTGCCCCTCAAGCGTCCAGAAGGGAGCAGCCCTGCCCCCACCTTGATCGGCCCATTATGCCCCATGCTGGATTTCCAACCCACAGGATAATACATTTGTGTAAGTCACTAAGTGTGTGACGTGGTGCCCTAGAGAGGAGCCATAGAAAGCCGATACAAGTCTGTCCAGAGAAAGGTTTGGTATTATGGGAGAATGGACAGGGCAGGGAAAGGGGAAAGTTGTGCTTCCATTGTGATGAACTTGATGTCAGGCAAAGGAGTTTGGATTTCACCCTATTAGATAAACAATGGGAACCCAGCTAAGGACTGTCAAACGGGAACAGGCAGTAACGGAATGCTACCAAATGGAGCTTCCTAAAAGCCATGTACGGCTAACTCCCAGGCTTCTCGGGGCAGTTTGTGAAAACGTGTCTAAGCAGAGGTGGTCAGTGACAAAACCTGGAACCAGCGTGTTGTGTAATTCAGTTCTCTGAAGTGGTGTGAAATGCCATCTGTATGCCTGTGTGAAGTTAACAGCTTAAGAAAGCGTTTATTCGCTGTTTGTGATAGACGGTCACGGTAAGGCGGAGGGGCCGAGTCACATTGTGACTGCTTTGCTTCTGCTCATTTTCCTCCTAGCAGGCAGCCGGCTCCTGGCTGCACACCATCCAGAGAGCCGTGGAATTTAACATCGTTGCCTGAGAATGACATGGTGTCGCTCGGGCCAACTCTGACCAGTCAGGAGCAGCTGCTGGCAGTGTGGTGGGCTTGTGCCGGCTCAGCCGGGAGGCGGCCGCGATCCTCGGCGCCATTTCCCATGGACTCTGCGTTGGCCGGGGGTGAGGGGCAGCTCTGAC